GATGGCTTGAAGGCGGACTTCTCAATGGTCAAGGGTCAAAGAGCTGCGTGATCCGGGCCTTTGAGCTCTGTAGACACTTCTCAGAGCAGATGTACTAGGCCAAGACGGTCGGAGGGTGGCCCATGGTGCAGATAGTGGACCCAGAATGCCAGCGTGGAAAAAGGCTTTTGCAGCCGATCTCGAGGTCTGAGATGTCGTTTACGCCTTTGTATAATTCGGTTGGATTGACATGCGTGCAATACATGCAGCCAGCATGTTCATCCGCCCAAACGTCAGTTTCAGCTATCTAGAAGAGAGAACTGTTTGAGTGAGATGGTTGTTATGCCCTGGCCACATGCTATTCCACTTTTGCGATCTGGCCGTTTAGTCTCCGCTTCCAAACAAGCTGCACCTTGTAGAACGAAATCTTGCCTTCAATCCTTGCCAGAATTTGCAAGAACTTCTCAATTATTTGGAATTGGTTGGGGTCCTGGCAGAGTTTGCAGGCTTAAACACCACATCAAATCGACGTGCAGAGATCTGCAGATTGCAGGGCCGTTGTTTCTCATATTCGATGGCTGCCTGTACAGCTTTAGCTCTTCTCAGTGTAAGCAACAGACCTCGTCACCAACCGCCAACTAACCCAAGCCACTTCAGTGGGAGACAAAATGAATGCTTCGTCTCTGAGCCATGCCTCTTTCCGAAGAAGCTTCAGATGAACTGGAGGCATCCAAGAAGGGAAGCTATGTGCTAGGTCCTAGACTCCCAGACCTTTGGATTGATGTTCTCGTGCAACACTGTAACATCGGGGAGTGCAGTGTACTGGGAGGTCGAGATTGTTGCAACTTGCTTGGCCTTGGGACCTGGACTTTTGGATACAACGGCGCCCAGTGAGCGCCAAGTCTGCTGGGCCCCAGGGGAAATAGGATGAACATGGTATTGTATGAAATAAGGAGTCCTGCCACTGGTTGGTAAATACCTGGCTGGAAGCTTTTTTATCACGGCTTGAGGCTTTGTTTGCACTAGACCAGACGCAGGCATTGGAAGGAATCTTTGGCAGCGACTTCCACTGGGATGGCTCCAAATTGAATCTTAATGTTGCACCTGAGGAGGATAGCGAAGGCAGCTGGCCTTGGACACATGAATTGGGGACCCAAACTTTTCAAAACCGAACTCCAACCCTTTGTTTTGCAACCTCGCTGATGGAAAGATGAGACTGTGCAACCAGAAATTTGTAAATGTTGATGCCTGAAGGTCAGTTTGCCTTCCAAATGAATAGTACAAGAAACCCGAAACTTATTTACCTGTCCTACGCAAGACTATTGATTTGCAATGATTTTTGCATGTCTTGGAAAAGTCTCCTACATCCCTTGCTAGGCTTTCGGTACGCCAGTGTGCAACTCTTGGTGGAGCTGCCTGATGGCTATCCTGCAACTGAGGGACCTTCTGTGCAGATACAGCCAGAAGAAGGCCGCATCACTCGATACATTAGCTTAATCATACTTTATCATTATAAAAATACAATATATGTGTATACACACATATATATATATGTTTTATGTATGTCCATATAATGGTCCATCATATAATGTATATAGTTGTACCTTGTGCGACTCCAGGTTAGAATCTGTCGCAAGTTCAGGCACAAGGCTTTGCTGTGGGCTCAAAGTGTGAGAAAACACAGCTAGAAGAGAAAACACTCCTGAAATCCTGGCATCCATACACGTACCGGGGCTGTTGGTTCGTGGTTCAGGCTGATACAGGAAAGACATGTGCCGCTTCAGGTGACCTAGACTTGTCGCAGCTCCATGATGTGGTGAAGAATGCAGCGGCCGATGCTGCAGGAAGCGTGGCGCTGTTCATGGTTGCAGAAGTCTGCCGGCTAAATGCGACTGTGAGCTGGGTGATGTTGCAAGGCCACTCCATTCAATTTAGTTCATGAAGTTCCGAACACCTACTTGCTGCGAAACTCTAGGAGAACTATCTCAAGGCCAATAGAGGTCCTTTTTTCTGAGGCGGTGAGGGATTGGCTTCGCGAGTTCGGACGGATGGAGCGGATCCCGGAGCCGGAGGATAAGGAGTATGTTTGCTTCCAGTGAAACATCCAGAATCTGTGAACCAATCCTCCACAAATTCACCGTGCCACTAGGCACAAAGCTTTGGCAGGTCACATGTCGATTGTGCAACCGTGCGTAGTTACGGCACCTATCGACCCAGAGGCTTCAGCCTGAAAAGGTCCATAAAGGATCGTTTGGGCCCATTGACCTTGATTTGATGCCAGAGAGCTGGATAAATACTCCGATCCAGAACATGGATTACACCAGACGCGTTCAACACATACATACATACATACATACATACATACATACATACATACATACA